TTTTTTAAACAGATAGATAAACAGGATATTCCCCTGGGCGTCATAAAAACAAAAAGTAACTTTTCCTGGCTAACAGAGAAGCATCGCCCAGTAGTCACAATAAGAGGAAAACAGGCTAAGACATGGAATTGCATGACTGAGCTAAACACATCTATCGTGGGGTCTGCCTATGCAGAATCATTATGTTGATGTAATCTTAAAATGTGCTATACTGGGTGAAAATACGATGAGCCTCAAGGAGATAACCATGGTATAAAGGCTAGATACTCCTGTCTAAGCTATAGAACTTGTTTTGGTAGCTCAGAGAGGCTGGCTAGACATGAGGGGTAGAACACGATAATAATAAAACGTTGCTTGTCATGCTTATGCGTCGTAGGTATGGAGCCATCTCAAACATGGCTCACTATGTTTAATGCAATATATGTGTGTATAAGAGTCAAGCTGGCATTAGCTATTAAAAGTAAAGAGTCACTGGTAAAGTTCTGTCCATATGGTAGCAACTAAAGAAAAAGAAAAATGTTGTGGTTACTTGATGCGGGTAGTCCGCACATCGATGGTTGTAAGCGCGCCCTCCAGATGCAGGTGAGGCATGTCCACTTGAGGGGTACAGAGGTAGGCCTTTAGCCGATGCCCGTTGCATGGACGTGCCTCTTGCCGTCGACGTTTGACTCCTCGAAGGCGCCCCTGGACTGGGACTCTGCTCCAGCAGCATTTAGTGGGGAGTTTAGCTGTGCGTCTCCCCGGTTTGCGGTTGTAGCTTGGAGGGACTGGGTCAAGCTCTGCCGGACGCTGGTCATCGGGTCAGGTGAGTAGCTGGCGTGGAAGGCTGGTTGAATGGTCTTTGTCTCCTGAATGTGGGGGCAGGTGCAGTCGCCCATGTAACATGGCGTTGTTTCCCGCCCATGAGAGTGGCGGTGTTTACGTAGCCTGGCGGCCTTCACGGATGCCTGTGGTGGGTGTCTGTAATGGCACCGGCGGGTCACTGGACGAATCCATGTAGCCACTAGTTTTGCTGCCCGGCGGTAAGCCATTCCGCGTTCGCGCAGCATAGTCCAGAGGCTCTCGCAAAGCTGGTCAAATTCCCCCAGGGGGTGTGTGGATGGCTGGTCGTATGTGCTCCGCTCTTGGGGTCCTCGCTGGGCGGCCATCTTAGCTTCCCTTGCGGTATCTTATCACTATAGAACCACTTACAATAGCAACTGAACAAATGAAAGGTTTTGGAATTTTGGAGGACAGCGTTAAGCTAACGATGTACGCAGATGATTTAGTACTTACCCTTAGCGACCCAGTCAACTTGTTGAGAAATCTTATCCCTCTTATGAGGGAGTTTTCAGAAATGTCAGGTTGAGCGGACACCTGGATGTTCGGGTCCATCTAACTTGACCCTGAACTTGACCCCGAACTCCATTGAAGTCAATGGGGATCCGAACTTTTGGCTACAAAAATGCCTCTAAAAAAACTCCTAGAAAGAGCTAGAGAGCTGCAAAAACAAGTTAAATGGGGGTAAGAGTAGGAGAAGTGCAAACAAATGTGGATAGGGAAATCACTTAAAATAACATAAAAATTTAAAATACAGCTGAGCCATAGCATATCACTAGATGGAATATTTGATTTTAGCTTTGGAAGAACATAAATCAAAATCTAAAGCATGGCTGTCAGGAGGATCAACAGAAATATCCATTTGAGAGAGGATTGGAGTGCAGGGTATTCTCTTTCATTGTTCAAACTGAGCTCAACTCCTGATGCATGGAGAAGAGGCCTTCACAAGCCTCTGCTATCGTGTACATAGTTTATACTAAGTGACCCATAGGTTGAGGAGGCGGTGAGCGTGGCGGTGTAGGTGGAAACAGCGGTGGAGGAAGAGGATGAGGTTGCCAACACTGTTTTTTATTTGTTTTGTTTTTTTTAATTGTGGCAGCCCACAAAATATTGGGACATAGGAAAAAAAGAAAAATTTGCGGCCTGCGGTGCATTTCTTGCAGTCCTGATGCATGGAGAAATTCTCAACTCCTGATGCATGGAGAAAAGGCCATCACAAGTCTCTGCTAATGTGTACCTAGTTTATACTAAGTGACCCATAGGTTGAGGAGGCGGTGACCATGGTGGTGGAGGAGGAGGAGGATGAGGTAGCCAACACTGTTTTATATATATATATATATATTTTTTTTTTTAATTGGGGTAGCCCCCAAAACATTGGGACATATAAAAAAGAAAACTCTGTTCCGCAGAGTAGCTGTTGACATTATAGTTGCGCAAGGACTTTGACTCTAGAGAACCTCGGGCAAATCGCACATCCCCGTGGTGGCGACTTTGCATGCGGATGTCATCCATATCAACTTTCGATACCAGTTTCTGCGCCTACCATGGTGATTCTCTAGCTAATACATGCCGACGAGCGCTAGGAGACGGCCGCTCCGCTTTTGCACCTTGCTCCCTCTTATGCTGTGCTGGTGCCTCTGTGCGACCAGCGCCTCTTCCTCCAAACTGCACACGTCACTCTCATGACCTTGATTCCATGTTGGGTCTAGGTCCTCATCATCCTCCACATCATCTTCCACCCACTCCTCAACCCTGCCCTCCTTGCTGATATGCACACTGCAGAAAGCCACAGCAGTTGGCACCTGTGTTTTTCCAGCATGTAAACTCTGCAAAGAACAAATGGAAATTGTTTCAGAATTGTATCCAGGCAACAGTTTTCCCTATAAACTGACCTCTCAGTTTGATTTGTGAGGGTATTGCCCCAGAATTACAATATTGTCGAAGTACCTCTTAGCTATTGATCACTGGTTTGAATATAGCAGCTTGTTATCTGGTAGTTTCTAGTGTAGAAAATATCAATCTGTTTTCTGTCACTTAGATCTGTGTAACAAATGTTGTAAATTCGAATCAAAGTTCGATTTGACTCTCAGATATGAAGTGAACACCCCAAATATACTATTTAGCGCCAAAAAAAATATATATAAAAAATTGACTTTTTAAAACTCCAATGTAAGCAGCAGATTAGCAGCAAAACAATTAGAATGTTTACAATTGCGCTGTAACCGCAGTATTAGACGCTTCTATTTGACTCTCAGATAAGAAGAACAGGCCCCAATATGTACTATTTAGCAGTTTAGCACCAAAACAATTAGAATGTTTACAATTGCGCTGTAACCACACTATTAGACGCTTCGATTTGACTCTCAGATATGAAGAACAGGCCCCAAAATGTACTATTTAGCAGATTAGCACCCAGAAAATAAGAATGTTTACCACTGCGCAGTATGCGCACTATTTGACGCTTCTATTTGACTCTCAGATATGAAGTGCACCGTAGGCCCCAAAATGTACTATTTAGCAGATTAGCAGCAAAACAATTAGAATGTTTACAAGTGCGCAGTAAGCACACTATTAGACGCTTCTATTTGACTCTCAGATAAGACGAACAGGCCCCAAAATGTACTATTTAGCAGATTAGCACCCAGAAAATAAGAATGTTTACCACTCCGCAGTATGCGCACTATTTGACGCTTCTATTTGACTCTCAGATATGAAGTGCACCGCAGGCCCCAAAACGTACTATTTAGCAGATTAGCAGCAAAACAATTAGAATGTTTACAAGTGCGCAGTAAGCACACTATTAGACGCTTCTATTTGACTCTCAGATATGAAGTGCACCCCACTAATGTACTACCCCACTAATGTACTATTTCGCACCCAAAAAACTTTACTTTTTAAAACTCTGATGTAACCGTGGTATTTGAAGCTTCTATTTGACTCTCAGATATGAAGTGAACCCCACCCCACTAATGTACTAGTTTGCAGAATTCTATCCTAAGCTGTCCCTATCAGCGGCAGCACCCTCTCCCTACACTAATAAGACAGCAGAGGCGGCTCTCTAATTAGGCGATTTAGGCGGCCGCCTAAGGCCTCGCGCTGGCTGGGGCCTCGCGGCCGCCTAAATCACCCAAGGGCAGACATACATATCGGATCCTCGGTCCATGACCGAGGATCCGACATCAGGGGGGACCCGGCGGCTTGCCCTTTATGCCGCCGGGTGCGAGGCCCCCTCAGTCTGCCAGGAGAGCCAGCCTTCAGTCTGCAGCTCCTCCGGGTGTGAGCTGCAGACTGAAGGGTCTCGTGGTCCCCAGCCAATCAGAGCGTTGCCGCGGGTTTCCACAGCAACGCTCTGACTTCTGGAGATCGCAAGACTCCTATCACGTGGTCTGCAGCTCACACCCGGCGGAGCTGCAGACCGGATAGGAGGCCCACCGGACCACCAGGGAGCCAGGGCACTGGACCACCAGGGACACCTGCAAAGGTAATTACCCCTCCCTCACCCCTGTCACCCCCTAACTAAGTTCCCTGTCACCCCCTAAGTCCCCTGTCACCCCCTGTCATCCCCTGTCACCTCTCACTAAGCCCCCTGTCACCCCTCACTACGTCCCCTGTCACCCCTCACTAAGTCCCCGTCACCCCTAAGTCCCCTGTCACCCCTAAGTCCCCTGTCACCCATCACTAAGTCCCCTGTCACCCCTCACTAAGTCCCCATCGCCCCTAAGTCCCCTGTCACCACCAAGTCCCCTGTCACCCCTAAGTCCCCTGTCACCCATCACCAAGTCCCCTGTCACCCCTAAGTCCCTGTCACCCTAGCCCCCTGTCACCCCCCTCACCAGGTTCCTGTCACCCCCTAAAGCCCCTGTCACCCCTAAGTCCCCTTTCACCCAGGTCCCCTGTCACCCCTCACCCAAGTCCCCTGTCACCCCCCTCACTAAGTC